CCCTCCCCCACCGTTATCACCATAAATAAGATTGCTTTATGTGCCCCTATATAACCTGGCATGCTATTTGTGTGACATTCACGACAACTTTGTTTCGTTTCTCGCCTTTCCCTTTCCTCCGCCCAGCTCTGCGCAACTCCGTCCCGGCGTGTGTCTTCTCCGCTTCCCCCCTTTATTATTTTCCCTTCATCCGATTTTATTTCCATTCCCTCCCTCTGCTCATTCGTTTGCGTTTCGGCCTTTGCCCCTTTGCTACCGGACCATTTAGGGCTCGAGACAAGGCAAGGCATCCACAAACATCCTGCGAATTCGTTTAAAAACAAACGGCAAAGAAACACCCAAGAGTTCATCATAGCTTTTATTGCAAAATTATTTAAAAAATATGATGAATAAAAGTTAAAAAAAAAAATCTTTTGCATTTGAAACCTTATGCAGTGTATATCCTAGAAATGTTATTGTTACGACGGAAAATAATAAAACAAAATAGAAGATTTAGATTTTTGTTTATACTCGACGACAGGGAAAGACTTTCCTGTACCTGACTGTGCGGGGGCGGGCCACGGGCGACACCAGGCCGGGGCCCCGAGCGAGGGTCGGGCCCCGGCGGCCCAGGCCAGTCAGGTACAGGAAAGTCTTTCCCTGTCGTCGAGTATAGTTTTCGAATCATCAAAAGAAAATCTCATTACATCTCGTATTTGCAAACGCCCCAAGAAAACTAAACAACGTACTGGAATAACGACTGTGGGCGGTGTGGTGTCCACGTGGTGGCTGACCGCATGTCGTACAGCACGGTGGCCCGCATGTGGACCACACATCACATCCTCGGCGTCCCTCTGACCGGATGGGTTCTAGACAAGGAGTGTCCGGCCCGGGACCGGCGGACTGCGGCGGATCCCACTGGCCCTGGCCCTGCCCCGGGGTGGGGCTTACCCGCGCACAATGGAAGTTGATCCAATAAAACGTCGCCCCGCCCCGCCCCACCCCGCCCGGTCCTAACCAG